GAAGAGAAGTGAAGCTTGATTTATTCTAGGTTGGGTTAATTGTTTCTCTTTGAGATAAGTTGTTACGTACAACAGATAGACGATTGAGACTTCAGAGTGTGCTTCCCTTAAGATGGGCATCTTATAATATGATAATTTGACAAACATTGGATATAGGTAACTGATCTAGCAACTTCTTTTGCCAAAGTTGCAGATATTGATCGAAATCTTGGGAATGAAAGCACTGCAGTCAAAGGTATCAAGGAAGCAATTGAATGCCTTGGGAAGCTGAAGCTAAGTTCTGAACAAGCTAGTCCTGAGCAAAGGGTAAGTATTATTATCCCCATCATATCTCATCATCATTGCGCCTCTATGTGTTGTTGTGAACTAAGCGTTATCTGTATTTTGCAACGCCTCTCTGTTTTAGACTTCCTGCACAACCAATTGGCAGATAAGTAAGGTTCAGTAGCATCCTAAATCATACCCAAAGAACACATGCGCCATGATTGGGTTGATGAACTTCAGTATTCATGTGATACACATACTGGCATACAGAGGGAATTGTTCGATGGTAATTAGAGGGTCTACCTACTTGAAGATTGTGGCAGCACAAAATACTTTCTCTGGCATTGTATAGTACATATATCCTCTGTTTGCTGGGCAAGGGAACTGATGGCTGCCAATATGCACAGCCATCCAACCCTCCAGATTGTTTTGAGAGTTCTGCCTTGACATGCAATGGTGCGATGCGTAAGAGAAACTTCTTGGAAGTTCTCTGTTGCTTACAAGTCATTTGTGATTGTAATCCCTTTGTAGTATATTGACAATAAGATGAGGGAATACTAATGCATGACTGCTGTCCTTACTAGATTCCCATTGTGTGAATATAACCCCCATTTCATATTGACAAATAAGAGGAGGGGATACTATTAAGAACGCATTAACGTTGTGTTTCATTAGATTCCCATGCATGTGAAGCTGTCTGCATATTAGTGGACAAGGAACCTAAAAGTTACAGAAACAATTCAAGTGTTATGACATTGGTATCTTTGTGACAAACAGGTATTGAGTTCTGTTGACTCTTGGAACTGAACGATTTTTGTGCTTACTGATGCTGTCTGTACATATTCAAGAACAAATTGTTTATTGTTGTGTGTGCACTCTTCTGGGCTTTTGATCCGATCTGATAAATGGAAGTGGACAGTAGTAGGAGTTCTGGAGATATCTCCAGTAGTAGGTAAACAATCCTAGCTTTTCTTAGCCCAGTAAATAATCCTAGCTACTAATGTATCATAACATCAAAAAAGGTTACGCCTGAAACAAACAAATTCCTTTTTTTCCTGAAATAAAAAAGAGAAGAAAACAAGTAGCGGACATTCATATACAGTTTGATTCGTGCTGTTTTTTTAGTTTGATCAGGAAAATGCCACAGAAGTGCTTTTCCTGACTATATTCCTTTGCTTTATGGAAAGATGGATGTATCATACCTAATTAAAGCATTCTGTTCGTTCATCATGAAAGGGAAAAACAACTAAATAAAGAGACGTCCTTTTTTCCCTCTAAACCCGCCATGCATTGCTAATTAAGCCTGTCATTCTTGCAGATATACATATTTGTGAAGAATGTGTGTTTCTTTAATTAGCCAGTGTATATCTTCCCCCTCCCCTTTTTCCTGCTTTTTTTATGCTTTTCCCACATCCTCTCCCCCCCTTTTCCTCTTTCTCCTCCAGGCACTTCTTTTGTAGCATTTGCTTGGCGTTTTTTAATTGCTTTGGTTTCTAATCATGAACACAGTCTTTTGTGTGGCTTTTGGACCAAATATAGGGAGGAGAGAGGGGGGGGACAAAGGCGGCTTTTGACTGAAATTACTTCAGGTCCAGCAGTTTTGACCAAAAGATTTTACCGCCATGAATATGCATCTGTTGAAACGTTGTATCGCTACTTCGCTCTATATTTTCATTCATGCAAATATAATTTTATGTTTCTTCACTGAACATTGTATAAATATAAATAAAATGAGGATAAACAAAAAGAAAGAAGCAGAAGAACCATTGTCCATTGACGGCGCCGGTGACTAATTCTTCTTTTGCTTGTTGGTTTGTGGCGCAGCCGTCCAATTTGGCAATGACGAAAGATGCATGCATGGGACGGTAGTTGAAGCAATTGAGAGTGAAGAGAGATGTCTGATGCATCGAGTAGCCAGATCGATATGATGGCAGTCCTCCCTTTGGATCGAGAGTACACGTAGAGATCGAGAGAGAACAGACAAAAATCGATGGATCACGTACGCAGTTCCCGATGCATCCTGCTGCATGCATGCATGCATGTGCATTCCTGTATCTGGTGGTCGTGGCAGACCAATGCAAGCTACTCTGCTAGGTTCCGCATGCACATTCATGTGTCACTCGATCGATGAACAGTGTTGCACGCGCGCATCCTACAACTACAAGTGGGCCACCAAAAATACGCGCATGCAGATGCAGGCATGCATGCATGTAGCACGCAGCTAGCGTAGATCGATGCTGAGGTCCACACGACACACAATGTCTACATGCATGCAAAAATCAAATGAAACAAAGCCGCATGTCACATACTGATATATGAATAAAGCCCTATTTGAATTTTTTTGTAAATTATTTCACCTGTAATTTGTTTCCACCCGCGATTTCTTGTGCACAAGAGGACAACCAGAACATCATTCCCATATAAATGATTGTTTGGGTGAATTATGAAGAACAATACTCCCTCCATCCAAATTATAAGTTATTCTAACTTTTTCAGAGAGTCAAAGCATCTCAAATTTGATCAAATTTATATAAAAAATAATAATATTTATGATACCAAATAAATATCATTAGATTCTTTATTAATTTTTTTATAGTATACCTATTTGATGTTATAAATCTTTGTAATTCTCTCTACAATTTCAGTTAAACTTGAGATGCTTCGACTTTCCAAGAAAGTTAGAATGACTTATAATTTGGAATGGAGGGAGTAGCAGCAAGAAGAAAAACAACCGAAGACCAAATAAACATGCTACAATCCCATGACCATGAGCAGTCAAGCACCCAATTTCTCCCGGGCCGATGGACTAAAGAATGAGCATCTGGACATGACTTCTGTTTTTCGGTTGGAAAGGCATTATAGTATAATACCGTTGTAAAATTATAACCGTTACTGTCCATCCAAGCAGACATTTTAGATCTAGGTTGTAAAATTTTACAGACCAGTAATTTACATTGGTGTTAGTCTTAAAACCATTCTTCCAAACAGCTAATAAGGAGTTTAAAGTAAATTCTTCACATGCCATTTCAAAACTCCTGAAGATCGTATTTGTCATTGATGTGTCTATGACATGTGGGCTCGATATTAATGGTAAATGTGGAATTTTAGGGATTTTGTACATATCCGTCACAACATTTAGTATAGACCCAATGCAAACCGATCGGATTATTTTGAACTGTTGGATGACAACATTGCTTCTCTCCTCATCTTCAGCCTTGAGGATCCCAACTCACGTTCCCCACATCCAACACCATATTGCAACCTTCACTAAGCATTCATAATATATTATGGCCGGTGGTTTTCTCCAAACTATCAACAAACAACTTTGTTATGTAGGAAATCTAGAAAGATTACCTACCACTCTTCTCCCTAGAGAAAGGGAGTTGATATTTCACGTGCCTGAATTTGTAAACAACAATCTTAGACAAACGTACAATTAAAAAAACAACTCATAAGAGACAGTTCATATTTTTTTATTCAAACAACGATAAAATTACAGAACAAAAAAATCAGGTACCTAAAATATAAGAGAAGTGCTGGAGAAAAGTTTTTTTTCACTAATATGACGAGTGCCCCCTTTTACATTCTAGAGGTGCAAGACTATTCTTTTTCATGTATATATGGATATGTTCATCCTGGCCTATCATAGTGAAGCCTAAAGTTTCAATATTTCCATGCAATGGTGTGTTCCATATATACATAGGAGAATAATTTAAGTAGGGTTAATTAGAACTTTGCCTTATAAAGTTGATGTTTCTAAGATGCACCACTACTTCTCACCTAATATGGCCAGTGCCATTATAATTCATTTTAAAACTAAAAAAATGCCACTTTGTATGCTCGCGAGCTATTTAGACCAATATGTAGACGACCATATTTTTGTACGGAGCAAAATCACTTCAACACACATGGATCAAGGTGAATTCAAGTGCATCTAAACAAGCCATAAGTAATATACCAAGGGACTAGGTTTTACTATAATATTAAATCCTTATATGGGACATAATGGTACTCTATACGCTTCTTACCCAGCTGATCAAAACACAATAGAAATGTAATACACCAATGTGCTTGTAAAATGAACTTTTGATATGTGCATACATGGATTTTTGAATTTTTCTATACATGTGGCACCTTTTCCATATATATCTAGCTAGTTTCAGAGGTTGAGTGCAAGATGGGGAGAAGAATATATATAAGTGCGTGTGCATGGCTTTACATCCACATGAAACTACAGGCGCGCGCGCGGGACGCACCACCAGCCAATTTGTCCTTCTTGCCCCCTAGCCTAAACACCTACTACGACGCTCACAATATTTTTAGAGAGTTGTATACGCTCGTAATATGACACTGATATCTCAATGACATGTGGGCCAGGGATCCTCATGTTGGCCTCCTATAGTCAGATACTCAGATACTGGCATACTACAACATATCATCATCATAACATGCACTTTATCAGTGTCATCGTGTTGGTTTTGTCCTTGATGCTATTTGCTAAGTGTTAATGTGTGTGCTAGTACTCCCTACATGATGGGAACATGTAATCACAGCAGTATAATACTACATGTGTGTAACCAAGACCAAGAGAAACATTCACTCCACCCACCTGACTACTAAAAAGGGATCACATCACTGGTAGTAGCAAGCAAGAGACCTGCGCCTACACGTTGCTCCCCAAATTGCAGTTGCAGAGGACGGACATCTCGGCAAAGCCAGCAGCAAGCAAGCGCAGGATGCGAGCCGGCGGCTGCGCGGTGCAGCAGGCGCTGGCCGCGGAGGCGGCGGCCGTGGTGCGGCAGGCCGTGGCGCTGGCCCGGCGGCGCGGGCACGCGCAGGTGACCCCGCTCCACGTCGCCAGCGCCATGCTCTCGGCGGCGGGGCTCCTCCGCGCCGCCTGCCTCCGCTCCCACTCCCACCCGCTGCAGTGCAAGGCGCTCGAGCTCTGCTTCAACGTCGCGCTCAACCGCCTCCCCACCGCCGGCCCCGCCGCCGCCGCCGTCATGTTCCACCCCGTCCACCACGGCGGGCACGGGCAGCAGCACGCGCCCGTGCTGTCCAACGCGCTCGTCGCCGCGTTCAAGCGCGCGCAGGCGCACCAGCGCCGGGGCGCCGTGGAAGGAGGGCAGGGACAGGGACTGCCGCCGCAGCCGGTGCTCGCCGCCAAGGTCGACATGGAGCAGCTCATCATCTCCATCCTCGACGACCCCAGCGTGAGCCGCGTCATGCGCGAGGCCGGTTTCTCCAGCTCCCAGGTCAAGGCCAACGTCGAGAAGGCCGTCTCGTCGTCGTCGTCGCCGGAACATCAACCGAACACGACGATACCACCCACCAACGGCCACGCGACGGGCTCTCCTGCGGCAGGTTCCAGTCACGCAAGCAGGCGCCCCAACAAGTCCGACGACGACGCCATGCGCGTGCTCGACTGCATGGCGAGCGGGACCAAGCGGTGCGTGGTGGTCATCGGCGAGAGCGCGGCCACCGCGGAGGTGGTGGTGAAGGCGGTGATGGACAGGGTCAGCAAAGGGGAGCTGCAGCAGCGGCACGAGCGGCTCAAGAACGTCCAGTTCGTGCCCCTCTCGGCCGCGTCCTTCCAGCGGATGCTGAGGGAGGAGGTGGAGGCCAAGGCCGGCGACCTGCGCGCGCTCGTTCGCCAGGGCTGCGCCGCCGGGAAGGGCGTCGTGCTCGTCCTCGAGGACCTCGCGTACGCCGCCGAGGCCTGGGCCACCGTGTCCGAGAGGAGAAGACGCGGCGGCAGTGGCCGTGAACACGGTCAGTGCGGCTACTGCCCCGTCGAGCACGCCGTCATGGAAGTGGGCAGCTTGGTGTCTGCCGCTGCCGGTGGCGCTGGCAGAGGCCTCGACAGGTTCTGCCTGCTAGGGTTCGGGAACAACCAGGCTTACATGAAGTCCAGAGCAGGGCAGCCATCTCTTGAGGCCGTCTGGGAACTGCACCCCGTCGTCGTGCCGGACGGCCGCCTCTCGTTGAGCCTCACCTGCAACAGGTTCGGTGCTCAAATCAATTATATTATTTGTGAGTTTGCGGTAATTAACGACCATAACAAGATGATTAACGTCTGGAAATGCCGGCTGGTTCTCTCTGTTCTTCCAGTGATGCCGAACAAGCTAATCAAGAAAGAGCAACAAGGCCTTGGCCCTTCGCTAACGGCACTGCTACCGGCGAGAGTGAGCTCATCACTTCCTGCACCAAGGTGGCGGCGACAACTCCGAGTGTGCCGCCATGGTTTCAGGGGTACCAAGTTCAAGATATGACAAGACCGGCGAGCCGCAGCACCAGTTTTCAGGTACATTCCTATGCTCAATCCAATAATACATGATTAAACAACTTAGCAAGGGGCCAAGAAGGGCTATATTAAGATAAACATATCACACACATGCTTAAACAACTTAGCAAATTACATCAATCATTTCTTCCTAAGTAAGATGCACGGCTCAAAGATTCTTTGCCATCTTTGTTCATACCCCACACCTCCTGTGTTCAGATTTTGCGTGGATTAAATAACAATAGGTTTTGTTTCTAAAAGTATCAATTTTCTTCTGTGCAGTTGCAAGATTGGAGCCCCAATTTTAATGGATCAGCAGCTTACCACACACGTCGGAGCTCACACTGAGCTTCTCCTCACAGATTACTAACTCTCCAGACACTTCTTCCATCTCCGGCTCCTTTGCCCCAAGCTTCAATGCTGCCAGCTTGATGATGAGCTCCGAGCCATGGCAATTCAAGCTGATGCAACCTTGCCCAAACTATCGACATGATGACCCGGTGCCCAGGTCCTATGATCGTCAATCATTGCTTGCAAGGACTACTAGTCCAGAAAAATCCTACTCGGTGTCCAACTCATCCGAAGGTGCCCCAGCTGAGTTGCCAAAGTTCACGGAGCTCACCGCTGAGAATCTCAAGATCCTCTGCAACGCGCTTGAGAATCGGGCTCCACATCACAAGGACCAGGTTGCAGAGATTGCAAGTGTCGTGCTCCAGTGCCGCTCGGGCATGACAAGGAGGAGGAGGTGGTTCCAAGAGAAGCCAAGTTCAGTGACATGGTTGCTCTTCCAAGGAGGGGGCAATGATGGCAAGAAAGCAGTGTCTCGGGAGCTTGCAAGGCTTGTCTTTGGCTCCTACAGCAAGTTCACCTCCATCTCACTAGCTGATGAGTCCACCCATGTTCACTCGGATTCCAGCTCCGGCGAGCCGATGTTGAAGAGGCAAAGATCACTGGACACTGGGCATGGTTGCGTTCAGAGATTGTATGATGCGATACTCGAAAACCCTCATCGGGTGATAATCATCGACGGTGTTGAGCAACTGGACTATGTGTCGGAGATCGGCGTCAGGAATGCGATCACAAGTGGAAGAATTAGGGGTTGCAATGGTGATGAGATCAGTTTGGGGGGATGCCATCATTGTATTGAGTTGTGAAGCACTCGATTCAATGTCTAACGCTTCCTCTCCTCGGCTCAAGCAAAGGGTCATCAATAAGGATGGAAAGGAAGGAAATTGCATGAACATAGAGAATGGGATGGAGTCATCTGGTTTTACCTTGGATTTGAATGCATGCGCCGAGGATAGTGAAGGGAATGAAGAGAGTGTTTCAGATAATGCGAGTATCATTAATATTGTGGATGGTGTGTTCTTCTTCCAATTAATGGAGCACTCATGACATTGTATTGCTTCATTTTTAATATATCAACAAATTAGCCTAGAGTTCTTAATTAACTACTTAGTTTTCTTTGTATTTTTCCTCTGTTCTAGATTTGGAGCTGATCCTTATATTTATTAGCCATTTGTGTCACTACCTCAGTTTTCGACATCACTGCCGGTTCAAAATCCCCCTTCACTGTCGGATTTTGAACCGGCAGTGGCATACCGATAGTGATGCCTCTAGGCTATCAGTGCCGGCACTTCACCCGGCAGTGATAAGCTTTAAAAAAACAAAAAAAGAGTACAGCAAGCAAGCTCGTTGCCTACCGTTGCCACCGCCATGCTTGCTAGCTACCGCCACCACCGCCATGCTCGCTGGCTCCCCCCACCGCCGCTCCATCAAGCAGTTCATACAAGAAACAACTCATACATCAGACAAAGGAGGAGGGATTCAACACAACACAAATCAACTCATCCACAAATCGAATCGATTCATACATCACACAGAAGGGTTCAACACATCTCAAATCAACTCATCCACAAATTGATTCGTACAACATAGAGTGAGGGGAGGGGGAGAGAGTGGAGATTCTGCAGGGAAGGGTGAGCTTGGTCTCATGCCGGAGGCCGCCCCTCGCCGCTCAAACGCAAGATCTGAGGCCGCGCCCCCATTCGCCGCCCCCAAGACAGATCTGAGGAGAAAGAGTGTGAGAGAGGAGAAAGAGCACCGGGAAGGAAAAATTGCCGGGGAAGAGAAAGAGTACCGTGAACCACCGGCGCTTCTCGCCCTCCTGCCGCCGAGGTGGATCCACGCGAGCTGCCCGCGCTTGCGCCGGTCGACCGAGCCGCGCTCGCGCTGGTCGCCGGGAGGAAGAACTCGTGCCGGTCGCCGGGAGGAAGAACTCGCGCCAGTCGCCGGGAGGAAGAAGCTCATCGCCGGGTGGATCCGCTCGCCAGCGCCAGGAAGAAGAAGCCGTGCCGGGATCCCGACCGCTCGCCGGCGCCCACGGCGGCCTCATGCCTTCGCTGCGCCGGCATCCCGACCGCTCGTCGGCGGCCGCAACGAGGTGGATTTGGAGAGGAGATTTGGGGAAATATGGAGGAGGTCTGAGGAGCGGAGAAATATGAGAGAGAGGAGAGAGAGCGGGGAGAGATATGAGAGAGAGGAGAGAGAGGGAGGTGGATTCGGCGGCCGCACGGACGAGTTAACTACGATGAATAAAATTTTTGGGTCCAGAGCCTATGGATCATTGCCGGTATATGAAATGCAACCGACAGTGATAGACATCACTACCGGCTTTTATGTTAGAAAATCCGGCAGTGATAGCCTTTTTTTCTTACGAACCGGCAGTGATGCATCTATCAGTATCGGTTTTAAAATTCCGGTAGTGATAGGGTCAGCAGTGATAGCTTATTCTGTAGTAGTGTGTTATGTATAGTTAATTATGTGTTCGTGCTTTTGGCAACAAACTTATTTATTGAAAGAAAAGGAGGGTGTTCAGTGGAAATTGATGGTCAGATACAATACTCCATTTTATTTGACTAACAATCATTACCTCTCTGGGTTTCTTTTATTTTCTTGCTGTAAAAGTTATCGTATGGACCTGCATGTTGGGATTAATTAACTACAATTTATTAGCAACAAGAACATTTTAATCATGTAATAGAGACATAGATTATTTACTACTTACTAGTGCGTGAGACATTGATGATGTCGTCTTACACATTTGGAGAGAGTAGTTTAATGTTGACGTGGTTTGTGAAACATGCATTTGCAACCACTAGTCACAAACGCTGCAATGTTCTGCTCCCCACAAGGTGGAATGGGAAAAATAGATCTTTACATCAGTGTTGCCATGACATTATTATTATATACTATGGAATGATATGTCTTACTGGAGCTAGCTAGCCGCTTCCTTAGGGAGAACAAAACTCAAAACATCTTTATATACAACTAGGCATGTAGGATGCAAGTGCTTGCCACAACATCACCCATCTTGACTATTATTTCAACAATAGTACATAAATCGTGTATATGTTATTGGTAACCTAATTATTGCTGTCCAGGTTTAACAATCCAATTATATGATGCCAATGATGTTTTCTTATTCTTTGGTGCTATCATGGAGACCAGATTAGGTACAGATGTTACTAGTTCGGCCAAGGATATCGTCATTTATTGGGCTTTTAACATAAAGCTAAGGAAAGTTTTGTGCGTTGTTGATACGTACGTTATTTTAGTTAATGGAAAAAATCTACAGCTTCATCCTCACAAAAGAGGAATCAGATCACGCTTATTACAAAAAAAAGTTTCACAAACTAACGTTCACAGGGCTCACAACATGAAAGTTCAAATTGCAATCCTAAAAGCGAAAGACCATGAGGCTGTTTGGATGCCAGCCATCAATTGCCACCCCTATGTGTGGCAGCGCCACAGTTTGTGGCGTGGAAATTGGGCGCCACAGAGTGTGGTGGGATTCTTGAAGTTTTTGCTTTGGAGAAATTGTGGCCGCCTAATTTGTCTCATCAACCAAACGACCGACAAAATTCGCATGGCGGCCGCACCTGTGGTGTGGCGTGTGAGGGTAGGCAACCAAGCCATCCATGAAGAAGGCAAGCGCCACTGACTCCAAGGTATGATAAGCAAGGATGAATGCATCTTCACATCATCATTTGTGCTGCAATTGACTCCATATGCATAGCCAATGGGTCCCTCTGGATAGGACGCGCAAAAAGGTTTTAGTATTACACTAAAAAACAACTTTATTTCTCGTGAGCTAGATTGGAAGGCCGCCACCTCCTGTTCTTAGAAAAACACTATTAGAGACCACCTTGCTTGTACCAACCTCCAAATAGATTCTCCACATTAAAAGCACTTTTGGAATGCATAAATGTCATAGGAACCAATTTATTCTACACAAAAATGTAGTAAATAAACGAGAAAAAAATCCCATATTCCGAAGGGGGGCATATGGGTGGAACAGTACTAAACATTATATATATCAATACCTGCCAGAGAAACTTAGCAAATGGAACTCAAAGAATAAGTGTTGGATAGTCTCCAAGCTACTACAAAAACAAAGGTATTTACTCCCCTGCCAGTTTCTTCTAGCTAGGTTGTCCTTTGTTAGTCACCTCATTTTAAGAAACCACATAAAAATTTTATTTTTTAATGTTACTTTTGTTCTCCAAGTTTCATGTGTGACTTTGATTAAATTGTTAACTAGAAACATATATGTTATTATCATGCTACTCCTACAACAAATTGTTCGGCAAAAAAGATTCCTCATCACAGATTATCGTGTGGCCAATGGAATTGTTGTCCATTTACTTCTACCCAGGGGCGGACCTAACCCATGGATGAAGATGACCCTCTCATCCTACAAGGGTCAATAAATAATTGTTGGTGCCTTAATGATCCATTTGATTTTTTAAGTAAAAAAACAAGTAGTTGGCAAGGTAAACGAAGATACGAGGGTGTATTAGAGGTCTGCAGTTGCAATGCACACGTACTTGTTCTAGTACACTACAAATCATCAAAGTATACAAAAGTGTTCTTTCTGTTATTTGGTCTTTATGGTGACAAAAAGTTGCAATGCATGATATATGATGTTAGAAAAATTCTTATATTGATTTACAATGACCATCGAGTTTAACAAAGATACGTCGCTTACTGAATCAAGAATATATACTATGGCAAGTAAAATTGTAAACAGACTGATTTTGAGTAAGGTTCACTTATCTCTTTTCGATCATACTTGGCTACATGTATAGTAATTGTACACATTTTATTCACGTCTCCTTGACTTCAGTCGCCTGATCTCACAGGCGACGAGTTCAGAGCACTGTCTGCTGCTTTTTTGCTGAACTGGCGGAAGGAAGAAGATTAAAGCAGATGACCGCTGGCCAGCAAATGTCGCCTGACTTTTTGGAAATAAAACAGGCGCCTGTAATAGCAATTCCTCATTTTATTTGCATATGTACTATTGGAGTATATATATCCAGTAGCAATATGTATGTAGGGGCACATGTCCCCTCTCGATGGATGTCACGTACAGTGAGTATAATATATAACTAGTCCTTCGGGCGTGCCCATGCGCGCGGGCCACTGGCCACACGTTTTTTTAGAAAAAAAGATATAATCAAAGTTGGCCTGTATGTTGATTTGAGAAAAATCCGATGAGGTTTTCGCAAAGAATGATGAGAGGGTTTGTGGAGCGCGGGTTGATTTTCGACAAAGATAAGGGTTTTTTTGAAAAAAAACCCAGAGGCCATCCGTTCTGGACCGCGGGCTGATTTCAAAATAATCTGAGGTGTTTTTTTGCAAAATATCCTGAAAGGAATTCTGGAGCGCGGGTTGATTTCCGGAAAAAAGAAGGGTTTTTTTGAAAAATGACCGCGGCTCGCCTGATCTGGGCCGTCCGCGTGGCCGATCGAACGGCCACGAAAAGCAGACGAAGTGGTGGCCAGCTACTCTTTACGCTTTCTTGTCTTTAGATTATTGTAAGATCAGCTTGCTCAGCCACTCTAGGTGTGCGTAGACACAACTATTTATATCGATGGACCATGACTCCTGTCTCCAAGAGCATTCCGATCTGAAGCTGATGGTGATCAAATTCGAACAATGCGCTATTAATTATATATGTTATCAATATGATTAAAGACTTCGTGGTTGTAGAAAGGAGAAGGCAAGGGGGGAGCAATCTTTACTATGGAGATGATCAAAAGGTATTTGCTTTTAGTGTATGGTGATGCCATTTGGGAAAAAGAGACGAGAT